AAAACCGGTTAAAAAACAGCATTCTTTTGTCACAACGTTTCGTGATTATAGTCACAAAAATAAATGTAACATAAAAAAAAAAATTCCAGAACAAAATTCAAAAATAAAATTTATTCTTTTGATTACAATTTACCTATAATATAGCTATTTGGAGAGTGAGGAGTTATTCGGAAATTACTATTATTATTATGTTTTTGCTTGAACTACTTGCTCTATAAATACTCTTTGGTTTAAGCAAGGACTTAACATAAGATATTAAAATAATTAAAATAAGATATATCTCAACAAAAATGAATACAAGTTTGATAAGCCCCGTACTTTTTGTCGTATTTTACGATACATAGCTTATTAAGTAGTCCTTTCATTAGATAAATTACATAATCTCTTTATCGCTAAAATTTACTTAAAATATATTGTAAATAAAAAGATATATAAATATTAACAAAATTTAAAACCACTAAATACTATGCAAAGAAAAAAAGATTAAAGAAAACATTTCTAAGAAAACAAGAAACTAATAATAATCGTTGTAATCAAAGTTTTAGTAAAAGAAGGAATAATTAAACTAAATAATGAATAGATTTAAAATAGTTAATGTAAAAATTAAAAATAATAGAATTAAAATAAATAATGAATAGATTTTTCATAAAAGATTGAAATCTTTAATGAAAAATCTATTCATTATTTTAAGTTTACAAATAACAAAAAAAAATAACAAAAAGACAAAGAAAGCAGTGGCGTCACTGGGGGTGCGGGCCGCATCGGGTGACACCATCACGATCTGACAGAGTGTGGTAACACCAAAATGAAAAAAATGAAAATATGACAGAACTCCTCATTCTCGTGTTAATTAATTTTTGCGTTTGGCCTAACTAATAATTTTCAGATTTTGAATTTTCGATATTCTTTGTTGATAAATATATAACTCTGCTATTTCTTCATTTTTTTTTCTAAAGAAGTTTTTTTTTTTTTTTTTAGAAATTTGAAACCTGTGTTGTTAGACCCTGTTAGTGAAAGTCTACAGAGCTGACACCAAAAGTTTACCGCACTGGGTGACACCAACCCCAGCAACGCAACTGCTAGGTATCTTGTTTGAGGTTCGTTTACAGTCACCTAACCTAATTTTTTTTTTTTTTTTTTTGTTAAAAAAACAACAGCAAGTACTCCTTCTTTAATCAATATTTTTTAACTACCATATAATTTTAGCATTGTGTGTCAGTATGAGGGCAATAGCTGAAAAGTATTTAAAAAATTTTTAAAAATATTTTCCTCGCGGCTCAATACATCATTCAATTTCAGAGCGTTTTTAAATATGCAACATGTGTTGACTTGGTTTTACATGATTGGTAATCCATTTTCGACTTTTTTCAATATATGATAACCAAGTTTTAAAAAGCTTTTGTTTAGTTCTTCAAGTGTTTTGTTTGAATGTAACTCATGCAATTCGTCATCGCTAGAAGTTGCTTTAGTTTATGTAATATGATACGTTGAAAATTTTTTTGATTACAACAGGTGTACCATTTTTTTTACTTTAATGAATTTCAAAAAATTTGATTGTCTCATATCTTGAATACACCATGTTTCATTTCTTCATTATACCAACAATATCTTCGAAAGCATTGTAAAAACTTGATCAAGTGTTCAAATTTGCTCTGCATATATATATATATATATATATATATATATATATATATATATATATATATATATATATATATATATATATATATATATATATATATATATATATATATATATATATATATATATATATATATATATATATATAATATATATATATATATATATATATATATATATATATATATATATATATATATGTATATATATATATATATAAACATATATATAAATCTTCGTCGCCCTTTACCCCATCCAGATGCAATTTTACGGATGGGGGGGTGTAAAGGAAGGGAGGGGTTTTCCATCTCCCACCCCCAAGTAGGTGATTTTCAAGTCATAGTTGGTTTTTTTACGAATTTAGTCGGCTAGTCGGGTATTTAAAACAATTCAGTCAGGTTAGTTTTGAGGACCTTTTTTTAGAATCCAGTCGAAGCATTCATCATTTTATTCGTAGAATCGCCTCTTACCCATATTTTGACGATTAATGATTAATGAAAAAAAAATTTAATTTAGCTTTTTAATGGAAACGACTGAATAAGTGCCGACTAGCATAAGTGCGAATGGCATAAGAACAAACTGGTGTTAGTGCAAACTTGCGTAACTACACAAAAAGAATTTGCAAACATTGGCATTAGGGTGACACAAAATTAAAAAAAAAAGCTGCAGCAGATTTTCCAGTATTACCAAATTTAGAGGGTCTACAAAAAAAATTACGATTCCTTAGTGTTTAGGAAGAGCTTCATGTAAATTTGAAAATTTTACGTTCAGCACTTTTATTTCTTCACGTTATTTTTTTACCTTCACATCATTCAGCAAGTTTTTAAAACACGTGTCAAAAACTCTAGATGTTTGTGGTCATTTACAATTGTTTTTTAAAAAGTTTAATTGCAGCATAAATTTTGTGGTTTGCGTTAAATCACTTGGCAACCTTTGATTTATTAATTATCTTCAATTTTTTGTTATTATTTACATATCCATACAAAATGTTGAAAATCAAAAAGAGGAAAATGAAAGAGAATAGCTTTAAGGTACTTCTTTACCATTAAATAAATAAAAAAGTTAAACTTTTTCAATTTTTTGATTTTAGTGAAATATTAACAGAAATTTTACGAGGAATCTAAAAAAATATTTATCTAAGTTCAAAAACGTAAACTTTTCAAGTATTTTGGGTCACTATATTACGTAAAATTAATTATTACTATGTTACGTTCAAATTAAACAACCAAAATATATAGTAACCCAAATACTATATTATAAGTATTTGGGTTACTATATATTTTGAGTTGTTTAATTTGAGATAAATTGTATAGCAACGGTTGCTAAGGGGCAATTTTCACGAAGTACAAAAGTCCCCAGTTATTTTAGAACTTGATAACGTGCATGCAAGAAACCAAGAGCTAAAACAGCTTTTTGTAACAGGGATAAAATACCAAATATTTACCTTAATACTGACATGACTGAAAGAATTTTAACAAAGCAATTAAGGTCTGAAGTGAAAATTTTAAACGGAAATTCAGACATGAACAATAGCTCATTTTATTATGGTATAAGAAGTAATAAAATAGTAAACCTGACTAAAAAACATAGCAATTTGGGTATAAAGTGGCAAACAAAATAAGTAACATTCTAATGTTTAAAAGAACTGTGACCGGTATCCAAGATTTAAAAATTAAAACAAATGATAATGCACAAAAGCCAGTTATAAGTACTGGATACAACTCAAATAGTTTGAAATGTTTATATACCAATGCCACATCATTTGAAAAATAAAAATTAAATGAAGTTATAGCTGAAATTGAAATAAGCTCTCCAGATATAATTTTCATTACAGAAACATGGTGGAATGATACTTCAGCAACAATTATACCTGGTTATAACCTTTATCGCAGAGACCGAATGAATAGCAGAGGTGGTGGAGTCTGTCTTTATGTAAATAACCTAATTGATTCATTTGAAGTCAATAATGAACCCTATAATAATAAAAATATTGAGCAGATATGGTGTACCATTAAAAATGAGCACTGAATGCATATTATGTGGCTGTATTTATAGACCAGGAAGTGATGATTTGGTAAACTTTCAAAATGTAATCAATTCTATTAAAGAAAATTACAATTACTTCTCAAGAACTAAAATGAGGTTTTGATGTGGTGACTTCAACTTTCCATCCTTGAATAGTATATGGAATTCTAGTTATAAAAGTGTCTGCATTGGAGAAAAAGAGAGACAGTTTCTAGAATACATTGAAGAATGTTATCTCACACAACATGTAAAAAAACCAACATTTCAATTAAATGACACAAAATTAACAAATATATTAGATTTAGTATTTACAGCTTCTCCTTTTCGCATATCCAGCTTGGTACATATGGGTCCTTTTGGGAAAACAAAAAGAGGTCATCATGTTTTAAACTTTAATTTTAATTATCAATCACATAATCGCAAAAATGAAAATATTACTACAAAGCGAGTATACATGAAAGGAAATTATCATGAATTTTCAAAGTATTTAAATAAATTTAACTGGAGTCATGAGTTTACTGGACTTAATGTTGATCAGTGTTATGAAAGTTTTGTCAGAACTATTAAATATGCTGTAAAGATTTCATACCTTCATTTAATCAAAGATTTCATACCTTCATTTAATCAAAGATTTCATACCTTCATTTAATCAAAGATTTCATACCTTCATTTAATCAAAGATTTCATACCTTCATTTAATCAAAGATTTCATACCTTCATTTAATCAAAGATTTCATACCTTCATTTAATCAAAGATTTCATACCTTCATTTAATCAAAAAAATAACTGAAACCAAAAGATCCTTATGGATGAATAAAGAATTAAAACACGAAATTCGACTCAAGCGTAATCTTTGGTATCGATACAAAGCCTCTCATTTTAAAAATTTAGATCTTAAGGAAGAATATAAACTAAAAAACAAGTTAGTTAAAAAGCTTGTAAAGATTACAACACAAAAATATGAAAATAAAATTGCAACAGAATCGAAAAAAAATCCAAAACAAGTTTATGCTTATATTAACAGTAAACTAAAAGCTAAAGACCATATAAGAGCAATTTCAATTGAAAACAATAAAATATCAACTGACAGTCAAGTAATTGCTAATCAGTTAAATCGGTTTTTCAATTCTGTCTTCATAAACGAAAGCCTAACTAATATGCCTACATGTGAAAATATAACAGAAAAAATTTGCCCAACCCCATTGTTTAATAAGAAAGAAATTAAAAAACGATTAATGAATCTAAATGTGCACAAGTCCCCAATATCGATAGAATTCATCTAATGTTTTTAAGTAAGTGTGCTGACAGTTTAGCTAGACCACTCTGTATGATAT